AGAGTCAGGCGAGAGATTTTCAACGTGCAGTTCCTAGTTTTTCCTCCTTAAATTGGCCTGTGGGTTGAACCAGCACAAAGCAGGGTCCTGCAGGTTTGGGAAGAGAGGTAAAAAGCTGCAGTGACAGCAGAGAGGTCGTGCTGCAGGAGGCACGTTTCCCCAGTTGCTGCGTTTAACCAACCTGACCCTTCTATTTTCTCTCTCTGGGATTTCTCTGTTGTCACATTGCTGATGGCAGGGGATCTCTTGCTGGGACCAAACACGTGGCCAAACAACACTCAGCTCAGCACTGTGCTCCCAAAGAGCAGCCCCTCCAGCTGCCTGCTTCAAACACTTCTGGGGATTCACATTCCCTGCTATGGCTGGGGCCCTGCATTGCATCCCAGAATCAGAGAATTGCTCAGGTTGGAAATGGCCATCAGGATCAGCAAGTCCAACCATTGAGAAGACGACGCTTTTCTGATTGCTTGGCACCAGCTCTGTGTTTGTGTGTGAGCTGTTTGTGCTGCAGGAGATGCAGTATGTGCTTCAGGAGGAGCAATAGGTGCTGCAGGAGATGCAATAGTTGGTGCAGGAGATGGAATATGTGCTACAGGAGGTGCAATAAGTGCTGCAGAATAAGCAGCAGGTGCTGCAGGAGGTGCAGTGTATACCATAGGGTAGCACAGGGTGGGCTTCACCCACACCACACCGCACAGCGCCACGAACCTCATTTCAATACGAAACCACGCCAAAAGAGCCAGATCTCCTTTTTGAACCCCACACCCACTCCTCCCCCTTCCTCACCCCCCCCACGCCCCGTTCGGTCCCCGCTTCCAGGAGCCCTTCGAACCCTCGGGGGCGGCTCAGCTCCATTCCCACCCCGAAGCCCCCCGGCCCGGCCCGGCGATGCGGGCGGTTCCATTGGCTGCAGCGCGGCTTCGGGGCGGTGCCGCCCGCAGACAAAGCGCGGTGGGCCGGACCGGGTCTGGGCTTCCCGTCTCCTCCCCGTTCCGTTGCGGCGTTGCAGGTGGAGCCCGGGAGCTCCGAGCCATGGATCCCCGTCGCCAACAGCCTCAAAACGGCTTCTACGCCCTGCCGACCTCCCGGCTTCGCATTTATCCCTGCACGGCCCCGCCCGAGGTGAGGGGGGTCCGGGGTTGGCAGCGTCCTGGGGGTCCGCTTTAGGGTACTTTCCCTCCCTCCCCCCCAGAGCCCCGGTTCTGCCCTACTGAAGATGCTCGTGGCCGGAGGTGGGGGGCAGGGGGGGTTTAAGGGGTGCGAGCGCGGCTCTGTGCAGTGTGAGATGGGTTGTTCTGTGTTTAGTGCGGGGTTTGGGTTCTGCTGGAGGGGTTCGTTCGGTCCCGGTCCTTTTCCCTGCTGCTGGTTGGGCCGTAAGGGATGGGAGCGGCGGCTCCGTCGGTTTGTGACACGTTTAATGAAGTTGCGTCCTTGTTTTCTCTCGGAGTTGCTCAGAAAGGATGGGAACAGCTGCTCTAGAAAAGCAGTGTTGATGCATGGAGTATCCCAGCTGTGCAGTCTGTGCCTGCTGCAGCCTGCAGACCTGCAGGTTATCCTGTGTTTGGTCTTTGCTGGCGGTTCCCATGCTCCAAAAAAGCAGAGCTTCCCACACCTTTTTTCCATGATAAAAGCATTATCCGTGTTCAGATGCTTCTGCAGAAGTAGTAGGGGGATGCTTGGCTGCATGAGGGAAGGGAGAGCTGTCACTTCTGGGAGCAAACTCCCTGAGGACTTGGGCTGTGCTGTGATTTTCGCCTTGTTTTTAGCCTAGAGAATGGTCTCAGCTCCTTACAGAGCTGTTTGCTTTGGGAAGCCTTTACCCAGGTGTCTGCAGAGCATTTCGCCCAGCACATCACAGCAGATTTCTGGTGCTTCCTGGTGTGCTCTGAGGATTTCAGTCCTTCCTGCTTGGCTGCCTGATGTGAGCAGGAAGTGGGAGAGTGAAAATGGCAGCAAAAGTTTTTTGCAGCAAGGCTGAAAGCATTGAAGACGTGGGCATGTGGGAAGGTTAGAGCTGGCAAGAGCAGGTCCTAAGCCTTTCTGATGTGTAATTTGTGTAAGGACATGTGGAAATGTTAGGGCCAATCTGTGCAGGTGTGTAATCTTGTCCTGGGCATCATGGCAGGAGGGAGGAGGTGGAGTGCAAGTGCACATGAGGTGCCTTTTCCAGCAGTTCATGACACTGTTTGGCTGTGTCTTGCATTGGCAAGAAGCTCTCTGGGATGGGGATGGTGCCCAGTTTTGGGTCTGTGCGTGGTGCTCTGTTCTGTCTGGGGCTGCTCTGACTTGACAGAAGTGTTTTGGAGCTCTGCAGCATTGTTTTTAGACTTTCAGAGCAATGAAGTCCAGCATCCTGGAGGCTGCGGGTGTGGATTTGTGGTGTTTCTCTGGCGAAGTTGAGGAACTCAGGTCTGCAGTGGCTGAAGCACGAGTGTCACGGCTCTGGCCCTTGTTTCTGTGTTCACACTTCATTGGGCTGTAAGTTATAATGAAAACCCAGGCTCTGTCTGGTGCTGGGAGCTCAGCTTTGGTTGGGAACGGTGGCTTGGTGTGTTTTGAGGCAGGTGGCTCTAGGGATGTGAGTGGCAACGCCAATGGCTTTGGGGTGCTGGGCTGAGGCCAAGCAGAGTTTTCTCACTTCAGGGCACTTAGAAATGACTCTTGGGAGGCTGAAAGCCAGCTCTGCCAAACCCGAACCATTTAGAAACTGTTCAAAGACAATATATTAAGGCTTGAAAATGTCAGTAGTGAGAGGCTTTGTGTGCCTGGAGTCTTTGTGGAGCAGGCTTTGGGGCTTTTTCTTGTTCAAGTGATGGATGAAATGGTAGATGTGCTTTTTTGAGAAAGACCAAGAGATCCTGCAGTCATGTATTTAGCAGCTGGGACCTTGAGGAGGGGTAAAAAATAAACAAACCAGAGTGCTGGCAGTGCTCTGAACCAGGGCAGCTCCTGCATCATTACCCAGCTCCAGCAGGGTTGTGTGCGAATCCCTTTGCTTTGGCTGGGGATGGAACCATGTTTGTTGAAGGTTCAAGCACCAGGGCCTTATTTTTTCTGATGTGATCGGTTACCTCTTGTCTTCTTCCAGCTGTAGCAGTGTCCTGCTTTGTTCCTTCCAGCCAGAGCGTGGGGACAGGGACGGCTGCGCAGGACGGGGAGGTGAGTCAGTGCTGTGAGCTGTTGCATCGAATCCTTCCCGAGGTCTGTGTCTCATTATCTTGCTATGCTCCCTGAAGGCAAGAATGCATCCTTCCCCGATTTCAGGCTTTGCTGGCTTCCTCTTAGCAGCTTCTTTGCTGACTTTGTGTCGTTGGTAAAACGAGGCTGATGACTGATGGCCATGGGACCGTGTCCTGGCCCTGCTGAGTCTGGTTGCAGCTGGGTGGGCTCGTGTCAGGCTTGAGCAGCCCTCTGTGGGCAAGGCTCTGAGAGCCCTGCTCTCTGCCAAGCTGCCCTAAAAATACTACAGAAGGCCCTGCAGCTCGCACTAAAAACACTGCAGAAGGCTGTGCTGAGCTGCTGTGATGTTTTTCTTCCTTTGTTGGTGCCTGCAGCAAGTGTGGTTTGGGTCTGGCCACTCCACTCCCGTGCTGCCAAAGCTGCCTTTCCCTGGTGAGCAGGGTGCAGTGCTTTACAGGCAGTTTTCTTGCTCTCAGAGATCTGAGGCTGTGTGTTGGCGGTGGGATGTTTTCCAGCAGGTGGACAGCATTCGGGGTGCAGAGCTGGTGAGCTGCAGTTCGTTGCTTTTAGCAGGGACTTTTCAACGTGGGTTTGTTAAACTGAGCCAAGGATGTTTAGGAGGGCAGCGCTGTCCTGCAGAATGTATGTGAAGGATTTGTTTTCGTTCTCTGCCTTAGAGAGCTCCAGCTTCCCTTGAAACAGTCTTCCAGATATAGCAGCTGTTGCTAACACTGAATGAGCTCTGAGCCTTTGTGTGCTGTGCAGGATTCAGTCACTGGTGCTTGAGTTTAGCCAGAGCAAGTGAAGCTGGAATGCATGGATGGCTTCATCCCAGTCATCAAACTATAAATAGTAAATGTAGCCCAAGTCAGCTTGCTGGGCTGACTTTGGAAGTTCCCCGGGCTCACCTTAAAGGAGGGATCTGTGCTGGGGCACAGCAGCCCTGGGCAGAGCAGGGCTGGAGGTGGTGATGCACAGGAACCTGTATTTCAGTGTATGAGGTGGCAGTCAGTACGTACGTCCCTGTCAGTGTGGTCCCTGTTGGGTAATATGGGAGGATGTTGAGGAAAGAGCTATGAGCTGGTGCCAGGCTGCCAGCCACGTTGCTCCTGGGCAGGGAGCTTCAGAGCAAAGGGTGTCAGTGGTGCTCCTGGTCCCAAGGATGGGCTGGAGTGGGGCAGCAGCTCTGTGTGACACTTGGGTGCATTAACACATCCATCACACATACCTGCTTGCCCTCCCTCCTCTTAGAATCTCAGTCCACCATGCTTAAGGCTGTGTGTGCAGTGGACGGTGCTGTGGTCAGTCATCTTTACCTGGCTTCTTGCACCTTATCACAACCACAAGCCCCATCACTTGGACAGATCCAGCTCCATCCCATGAGCTATTTACAACAGAGAGGCTTAGCTCTTCCCAGGGCTGCACTGCATGCTTGGATTAAACCAGTGCTCCCACCAGTGTGAAGCAAAGTGGCTACGCTCGCCCTGCAATCTGTCTGCACTGCAGTGGGGGACAGTGTGTGCTGGGCTGGGACTACGGGTGCTCACTGTGGGGTACAAGAGGAGGGAGAGGTGGGAGCTGGGATAGCGCTGAGAGCAGCGAGGACCTCAGACTGGCCTCCAGGAGGGACTCTGATCACGATGGAGAAATGCTTTGGCTGTGCATTGTGTGCCTCTGCCTGGAGCATCCTCCAGTGCCAACCTGGGAGTGGGATGTGTTGCTGGGTGGTGCACAGTTCGGGCTGCCAGATTGTGGCATTGCTTGCTGATGGCTCTCCCGGGTGCTCAGTGCATTTACTGGATTGCTCAGGATCAAAAAAGCCCTACTGACTGCTATCCAAAAGTAATGCCTCAAAACCAAGCCTTCACGGAAGGGGAATCTCTTACACAAGGGAGGGGAAGGCTGTGTTGATGCTGATGCTGCTTTTTCAAAAGCTGCTGTTGCGTAAGCATGAAGCCTTGGGCAGCACAGAAAACGTGGAGAACGTCACTTCCCAGAGAGCTTGATACAGGATTGCCTTCTGAATTTCTTCCTCGATGCTTATCCAAAACTTCAAGGCTTATGTAAATCCTGCAGGTTCACTCGCAGTTTGATGCACTGAGGCTTCAGAGGATGTTTCTGTGCGTAGCCTGGGGGCACGGCTACTGAGAAGAGTCTCCTCTTTCCTGTTGCTATTTTCCAGCTCCAGCTGCCTTAAGCAACACTTAAGAGGCCACAAGCTTTCCAGTATTGTCTGTTGGTGGCTACAGGGTGAGAATATCTGCTGCAGAGAGGCTGGGAGGGTAGTAACAGCTGCTGGAGGTGTGCTGTTCTCCCAGTGCCCTGTGCAGGTTTTGGTGGGATGTCTTTATAAAAGATGAAGCTGGTGAATTGGGAGTCCCTGCTTGCAGCTTCTTTCTGTCCAAAAGCAAGGAGAAAATCGCCATTCTCAGCTCTGAGGAGGACATTCTGATGCTCAGAGCCTCTGCTCTGCACGTGCTGAGAGGTGGATGCAGGGAGCACCCTGCAGTGTGCTGCTGCAGGGACTGGTTTCAGGTGGCAGGCTTGATATCCAGAAACCGTAGCTTGTATGTTTGTTTTCCAAGCACCTAAGGCTTGAAATCAAATACACTCTGAGTATTGCCATTTAAATTTCCTTACATTAATCTTAATGCTGGCTGCTAACCGAGACCAGATCTTTCTCAAACACATCTGGTGACCGGGCAGATCGCAGCCCTCCCTTCTATGCGTGTGCTTTGCTGGAGAGCTGTGAGGCTCTGAGGGGGGGGTTGGAAACACAGAGAAGGGGCTGAGCTGCTCCTGGGGTGCATCACAGAGCTGCAAGCCCTGGTTTGGAATCCCATGTTGATGTGGAGGTGGCCTCGGGAGCCCATTTCTGTGTTTGTTTTGCCTCAAAAGCACTCATGGAGGCTCTACCTTCACTTAACCAAATCTCGGTGAGGTGAGAGTTGTTGTGCAGAGTTTCCTCTTTATATCCTCTTATGTCACGCCGCCCCGCCGGCTGAGCGCTCTCAAAATAGCTGCCAATCCCTGTAGGTTTCACTTCAAGGTCTCTATTCTTAGCCTGCTGGTTAGCTGAGCAAGCCGCCTTGCTCAGTAGTCATGAGTTCAAGGACCGAAGGGTGAAGAATAGCAAACTTGTGCCATGCGAAAGTTGTGTTTGCGTTTCATGGCAGCTTTGAAGGGACAGCTCGGGCACAGCCCTACCCAGCAGCCTCAGCCTGCTGTGCTCAAAGGCTTCTGCACCGACGTGAGCACGAAATAAGAGCTGCCGGCGTTGGTGTGCGCTCCGGAGGAGGCAGACGGCTCTGCAGATGGAATGACTCAGTGCACGAGAGTTCATTAAGTGCCCTTTTGCATCTGGCCCATCTTCAAGCAGTCTTATCTTGCTGCGTCTCGGTGCTGCCTCGATGACCAGATACGTGCACAGCAGGAACGAAGCAGAAGTGAATGTGGGATGCGGAGCGGTGGCTTCCCGGGAGCGGAACTAGCTGGATGTTCTCAGCCTCAGGGCACATCTCTGACTCTGTCTGCGGCGCTGGTGATGTTCAGCCCGTCCTGTAAGTGCCTCTCACATCCCTGGGGGGGGTTTTCCTTCCTTGCACAGTGCTGTGGACTGGCTGAAGGTGTTTGGGAGCATCCTTCTGGAGTGGTGCCTGCATGGGGCGGAGCTGAAGCTCTCACCCCGCTGGGTCGGTGCAGGAGCAGGTCAAGTTCTTTGCTGCTTTGCTTACTTATCCTCCATTCCCAGCCCTGTGCCCATGTGAGAGCTTTCTGCAGCCTTGCAGCTGCAAGAGAGGAGCAGGCAGCGGCAGCCCCAGCCGTAGCAGCAGCAGGGCAGTCTCAGCTCTCCTGCTCTGCCATTTCTGGCTGTTTCACAGGAAACTCACTTATCACATCCGAAGGTGTTGCCCAGATGGGTACACAGCCCAAAGGACTGACCCTGTGTTTAGTCCTTCAGCAGGACCCAGCTGTTCTTTAGAGTACATCTTGGGAGCAGTCTTGTTTTCCAGACTTCCTTTGAACTTGTTGAAGCTGTCTGATGCCATTTCTGCTGGCTTTTAGGTGGGTTCCCAGCTGGGGTGGATCTGGCACGGTGTGTGGGGTGGTCAGAACACAAATGGGGCAGCATTCCGCACCCAGAATGTTTGTTGCATGGCAGAACTGAGCTTTCGTGGGGCAAAAGCTGCTGGCCATGGCTTTTGCTATGCACTCTGTATGTGGGGTTGCTGGGGAGTGAGTGCTGTGTACCAAGCTCACATCCTGCCTATGCTGTGGGTGATGGTCACGTGCAGGCGAGGCCTTGGTCCTGTGCTTGGCTGCTTCTTTAAAGATGTATTTTTAGGTGCTTTCTGGCTTCCTCTTCCTCCTGCACGGCGCTGAGCTCCTTTCTAACTCCCTCTTCTAGGATTGCTTTTTGAGCAATCAGTTCCTCCTTAAACCTGTTTTTGCAGGCCTTTGTCTGTGCTTGGGAGCTGTCCCAGTTAAGCATTAGCAGCTGCTGGCTCTTTCTGGGTAAGCAAGAACAAATAAAGGTTTAGAGTGAATGAATCATTTGAGCCTTATCTGTCTCAAAGCCGGGACAGCTGTGTGACTGCTGCAGGAGCCTGCCTGCGGGGCACAGAGGCTCCTGGTTGAGGCGCTTCTCCTCCAGTGGTCAATGCTTAATAGGGTTGTGCTGCTGATCTGTGCCGTGGTGAATTCTGCTGTGTTCCTTTTTGAGCTTTTATCCCACGCTTGGTTCTGAAGCACAGCTCCGCATTGACTCCCTTTCCTTCAAGGTTTTGTTGTGGGTTCCTAAATAAACTCGGCTTGTAGGATGCTTGAAGTGGTTTAACCTGTGGGAAAAGGGTCAGTGGCGGCGGAGCACGGTGGTGGGACCCACGTAGGGGATGCAGTTGGACAGACAGATGTGGCATCAGTCACAGGGTGCTGTGGGGACTGCTGGTGATCCTGGGGCTCTCTGCTGAAGCTGAGGGACGCAGCCAAGCATCGGCACTGCAGGAACCGGCGTGACTTTGCTGGTTTAAGAGGCAGGATTTGTAGATTAAGTAGCGTTGGTTCGATAACAGAAATGTGGGAGTAGGGAGGGAGCAGCAGATAAGCCTTGGGCTCGTGCCTGAGAAGTTTTGCTCTGGCCCTAAGGTGGGGACTTACAGTGGAGTTGGTGTTTTGCTGAGATGAAGGGGACGGTGCCCTCTCCCCTTCCCCTCCTGCTGCTGTCTCTCTCTTCTGGCAGCCCAGATTAGGCTCAGTTCACCTTCTGCCCTGCCTTAACAGTCACACAAGGCTTGCTTACAGCACCAGAGCTGTTGAGGAGAGGGTGGGATGAGCCAGCAGGCTCAGATATGTGACCGCATGGTGCAAACTCCCCTGAGCAAATCTTCACTGAACACACACTGCAGAGCCTGCAGCCTCCCCACAGATGCTGCAGGATTTTGCTCTGCAATGGGGCAAAACATTTCCCTTCCTCCCAGCAGTGCTGGGAACGTGAGCTGCCCTCTGCTTTGTGGCAGCAGTGGCAAACCTTGCTGTCGACGTGGCAGGAAGAATTAAGGAATTGCAATCAGGGCACAAGTGCAAAAAGGCCTGCTAGCACACTGACTCCCCATAGGAAGACTGTAGGCTGCACAGAGCTTTGCTTGGAGCCCCAGCAGAGCATGTTCAGGGCTGTGGGCTTCTCCTGCAGTGCTGGTGATTCCTTGGGCCTCCCAGAGCTGGGCAGTGATGGCTGGGCTCACGGGAGGAAGCTTTTCTCCATGGCACAGGGAAAGCAAACAGGGTTTGTACAATCCTTACAGAGCTGGGCTGGAACCTGCTTTTCTAGTATGGCAGACCAGGTCTCAGTTGTTCTGCCTCCTTAAAGCAAGTGTGCACTCAGAGAGGGTTTGGCTTTTCTGCCTATAACTAATTTTTTAGCCATTAGGTAGATTGGGGTAGAAGTCCCCGCTGGATTTGTTGTTGTGAAGCTGTTGGATGTTTGTGTTGTGAGAGTCTGTGCCCAACTGCATGCTGGATGTGACTCCTTCCTCGTCAGCTGGATGCTTCTGGATTAAATCAGGGTTCACCTGGAATAAATCACAAGCAGTCTCTCTTCTTCCATCTCCAGGGCTCTGCCGTCACAAACAGCTGCTCACTGCAGTAGGTGAGTGGAGGCAGAGCGTCCTGCCAAGCCTTCGTGTCCACAAATGACTAAATCCTGCCTGAAAAGTCCAAGTATAAAAACATTACTTCTCATTTTTTGGCTTGGCCATGTGGATTGCTGGGATGGAGCCAGCCTGGTTGCTTGGCCAAAGAGCAGAGCAGACCCTCGGGTTGGGGGACGAGGAGATGGGGGTGGGAGCTGCTGCAGGGCTTGGAGCAGAGTTTGCAGCATGCAACCAGCTCACGGTGCTCTCTGATGCTGCTGTGCCCGCTGGCAGAGTGTGCTGGCAGCCTGCAAGCCCTCGCAGTTCATAAATAACTGTGGGGGCTGGAGAGCTGGGCCAGTGTCTGGTAGAGGAGCTGTCGTGCCAGCCTCTTTGCAAATGCAGCACCTTAACTGTGTTTGGGCGGTGAAGCTCCTCCTTGCTGCTTGCACGGTGCCTGAATTTGCTTGTTAGTTTGGGTGGTGGTGGTGGTGCTGTCCTCATCACAGCCTGGCTGCCTGATTCTGCTCGGGTTTGTATGGCTGTAAGATGGAAGACTCGATGCTAAGTGTTCAGGGCACGCTGCTCTGGGAAGGGAGAGCTCTGAGCAGCTCAGGGCGAAGACTTTGTGCTTTTTAATATCCGTTTAACATAAGCTGAATGGAGCAGAAAAGGGGATGGAGAGCAGTCTGCTCACAGCCCGGTCCAGCGAGGTGTCCTGGGAGCACAGATCTTCCTGTCCCACCTCTGCAGCGCAGGCAGCTGCAAATGCAGGTGCCTACAAACTCAGCAGTTCTTCATTGCTGGAAGCCCCTGACCTGCTGCTGCTTCCTGCCCTCTCATCTCCTGCTCCCTGATGGTGTGGGCTTGCTGTTGGTGGAACTTGGCTTTGATGGTTGCATCTGGTTGGTCTGGGTCAAGCAGAGCAGCAGTAAGCAGTGCGATGCTGCAGGGCCTGGTGCCTCTCAGTGTCCATCCTCTGCTCCCCAAAGGGACAACCTTTGTCCTTGCTCTGAGAAATGCTGCTTGCAGGGTCTGACTGCAGCGTATGGATGGAGATAAGGGTAGGGCTTAAGGCAAAAAATTAAGAGAATTTCCTGCTGCTGGTGATGGAGGCTGGATAACAGTGATTAGGAGCTCCAGCTCCCATCTGCAGCCTCCCAGGGTGAGTTGCTCTGCTTTCCAGCCCTGTGCCCAGCTCCTGGCTAGATCCATGTGGGATTTGTGCATCAGCATCTGCAGTTCTTGGGCTATCTGATGGTTTGCAGGTACGTGGAGCTGCCGAAGTGCTGCATCCCTCTGTGTCAGGATGGAGCCTGGCAGCCCAGACACCCCCCCGACGTGGCCAGGCGCAGTGGTGAGACGCTGGTATGCGAGATGTAAACTCAATACCAAAGTTTAGATTACAGCCCTGTGAAAAACATCAGCTCCCCTAAATGGAGCCCAGATGGTGGAGGAAGCTGTATGGCGCGTGGAACCGGTGGAGGAATCGCAAGGAGCGAGCAGTGGGATGGGACCAAGGGGGTGGGGGGGAGAGGAAAGAGGTAGAGTTACAGCCCAGGGAGGCTGCACTTGGCCACATCCCTGACACGGGTCAGCCCATAACCCAGGCTGGATATTCCTCCTCTCCCCCTTAACAGCAACTCCGGAAAACGAATGTCTGCCGGGTTGCATCAGTGTAAACGCAGCGTTTCCAAAGCTGAGGTTTCCCACAGCCCATGACAGCTGAACTGTTGGGCATGAGAGGCTGAGGGCTCTTGGGCAATTGGCAAGAGAAGAGGCAGATGTGAGGCGGCAGCTGCACAAACTGCTGGCTGGGAGCTCTGCTGGGTGAGAAGGCTTCTGCATGCCGGCTGCAGCAGGTTCAGCACCGAAGGTCCCGCATGGATGCAGGGGATGGAGCTGCTCAGGTGAGACATTGCTGGGTGTTTGCCTGGGCTGAGATTGGCTCAAGGTCCTGGTGTTGTGAAGAAAGCCAAGGTCCCAGGGCATGACCAGCAGTCTGGGAGGTTTCAGAGTGGAACTGGTTGGTGTTTTTTTTGGGGGGGTGGAGTGATGGAGAAAAGCACCATGGTGATGGGGGGGCCATAGGGTGCAGCCTGAACTTGGTGCTGCAAAGCCAGGTGGTGCTGCTTGCAGTGAGATGGAGGCCTTCAAATAATTCTGTGGTGATGAGAGAGCTAATTAGTGCCTTCCTATATGGTGGTCTGGGATGGCAGCTGTCAGAACTCTTGTCTACGCTGGGACGTGGTGAGGATGCGCTGGGCAGCTTGGAGTGTCCATCTCCAGACGGGTCAGCACATGAAATAGCATTAGGAGTGGCTGTGTTAATTGTCCCCTATGTGAACAGGAGGGCTTTGGGAAGGTAATGGGAGATAATGCATTTATAGAGAAACCAGGGTTCTTTCAAGGAGACCCTGAACACGTCTAGA